AACACTCTGGGTCACAAAGTGGCCAAAAATACCAGGTGCTATCAGGAGCTCCAGCAGTCAGGCCTGGACACTAGGAGCCCTCCCACTGTCGCCCCCCCTTCCCCCAAGCACGAAGAATGCAGAGCATCACTTGCCCCGCACCGAGATCTCCTATCTATACCTTGTGGCTAATAGCCACCAATGGACCTCTGCTCCAACCAGACACAGTTACATTTCTCAGTCCCGACTCCTGAGCCTCCGTGCTTTGGCTTGACTCGGACCTGACCCTCTTCCAACCACGCTGGACTTCCAGCCCTTACCTGGCTGTGGGGGGTGAGGAGGGGGCATCTGATGGTGCATCATGGGATACGGAGGCGGCTGCTGGGGCGCCATCAGGCCGGAGTGCCCAGGGGGTGTCCCCAGAGGGTTCATGCCGGGGCCACTGGAATGCTGGTGGGACTGCTGAGCGTTCTGACTGTGCTGCTGCTCCAGTTGCTGGCGGGCACGCAGCTCCGCGTACTTCAGCTGCTCCATGTGGAAGTTCTGGCGCTCGGTCAGCAGCTGCTGCCTCTGCTGCTCCAGCTACAGGAAAAAGGAGAGAACGAATTCACGCCTTAACATATGCCTTGGAACCGAGCCATAAGACCCTCCGTGCCTGCCTGCCTGCCAACAGATGCTCCTACTGAACGTCTTGATCCTACTGAACACCTTTAAAAAAAAAATTTCTACGTTTTTTATTCAAAGGTAAGTCACATATACATAAAATCCAATAAGTATAAACAGTAATACATTCAACCCTATTTCAACAACGTGTAAACAAATATAGTTAAGACGTTTCAATATATCCATATATCAAAATTAACTTTGCCTGACTGAGGCCTTATGCGCTTTGTTTTGTGAGCTGCAGTGGCTCAAGTGGTTAACACGCTGAACTGCAGGCTGTGGAAGGTCAGTAGTTCAGCGGTTCGAGACCCGAGTTGCCACATGACGGAGTGAGCTCCCGTCTCTAGTTCTAGCTCTTGCCAGCCTAGCAGTTCGAAAGCAAGAAATTGCAAGTAGATAAATAGGGACCACTTTGGTGGGAAGGTGACAGCGTTCCGTGCGCCTTGGTGTTTAGTCATGCCAGCCACATGACCACGGAAACGTCTTCGGACAGCGCTGGCTCTTCGGCTTTGAAACGGAGATGAGCACCGCAACCCTAGAGTCGGATTTATTATAGAACCATTAAAATATAAGTAAAATCTTGTAGAAAGAGTGCTCAGACCCTAAAATAAAGGCTAACTAAAGTAAGAAAAAGCAACTCATAAATGAAGCCATTCGGCGTAGCCTACATGTGCTGGTAGAATGTCATGTTCTGTGAAGTAGGTTATTAATGCAAACCACTTTCGTAGAAATCTAGACTGTGATCCTGAGTGTCCTTGCGTGTGTGTCTCATATGTGTCAGCTATTTTGCCCATCACGTAGTGTTCCGCCATTAATGGAGAGATGGGGGTAACGCCGATTTCCAAGAGGCAGCAATAACAAGTCTGGCCGTTGCAATTAGGGTGGCAGACAATTCAGAGACGTGGATTTCCCTTTCTTCAGTGGTATAAGATGAGTTCAAAAGCAGCACAGCTGGATCCAATGGAATGTGTTCTAAAGGTATCTTGTTTATTTCTCCCAGAACTTGGGACCAGAAGCCCTGTATACTGAACACCTCAATCTGCTAAAGGCAGACCTAGAATAATGCACTGCTCGGTCAGGAACGCACACACTTTTAATGATGCACCACACACACCGCAGAGTACGAGACGCCCCCCCCCCCAGGTATGTGCCAAGCCGTCAGGACATTTCCAGACTCCAGTACCGAGGTCACGCAGCCCCATTATCCAGCCACAGATGGTTCCTATCAAACGGCGAAGGGGGCAAAGGGCTCCATCTTTACCCTGCCTGCTCCCTGGGGCATACCGCGTAGGGGAGCACAAAGCTAACCCTCTGAACCTCTCAGCTGCTCCTTCCTATGTGTGAGCCAAGACCCGGGCAAAGGTGGAGAAGCCCCTAAAGCTCAGCTTGGGACTGAGTTGTTCCCAACGGGGAAGAAGAGGTTAAAGAGTCATAGAATCATAGAATGTGAGAGTTGGAAGGGACCTTGCAGGTCATCTAGTCCAACCCCCTGCACTCAGCAGGAGCACAGCCGAAATATAGCCCTACGACAGACCCGAAAGAGGGTCATCCAGCCTCCACTTGAAGACGTCCAGTGAAGGAACCTCCACCCCCTCCTAAGGCAGACTGTTCTACTGCTCAACCAGTCTTGCAGTTAGGAAGTTTCTCCTGATATGTAGCCGGTATTGACTCCCTTGTAATTTCCACCCATTAGATCTAGTCTTGCAATCCGGAGCAAGAGAGAATAGATCTGCTCCATCTTCTACGTGACAGCCCTTCAGATATTTGAAGACTGCAATCGTGTCCCCTCTAAGCCTTCTCTTTCCCAGGCTAAACAGACCCAGT